GCACAGCGGAGGCGTCGCGTCGAACCCGTCGAATAATTTCAGTCGTGTGGAATAGTTTTGTTTCCTGCCCGCTTCATCGCGAGCGTCACCGTCGTCCGGCGCAGCGCGATTTCGCGGAGCGGCTTCCCGGGCGTCGTCGCGCGCGCGCCCGCGGGCGGCGCGTCGCCGGCGGCCGCGAGGCGCAGCGTCGCCGCGACGCCGTCCCGCGCGGCGCCGCCGGGGCCGAAGTCGCGCGCGAGGCTCCCGACGCAGCGCCGCCAGCCGAGCCGCTTGTTGTCGCGGCGCACGAAGACGTCGCCGCTAAAGTCCGCGTCGCTCGGCTCCAGCGGGACGTCGGGCCACGACTCCCGGGACTCGTTGGACGACACGGACGCCGTGTCGAGCGCGCCCGTCGTAGTCGTCGACGGGGACGCCGGGGCGTCGTCGTCCATGTTCTGCTCGCGTTCGTGCGGCTTGGTGCGGGCGGCGTGCGCGCGCGCAAAGGCACCGCGCGCGTCGGACTTGTTTTTCTGGTGTCCAGGCGCGCGGCGCGCACGCGCGAACCTCTCGGCGCGGCTAGGAGGAGGCGAGGAAAGAGCTCTCGAGGAGCTCCATCATGAGCCGAATTGCCACAAGAGAGAGAGAGACTCAGAGAGGAGCAGTCCACTCGACGACCCGACCCAGCGCGCACCAGCAAGTGTCCGTCGAAGCAAAAACGCGCGCGGCCCTTCCAGTGGGCCACCGGAACCGCCCGGACGCGCGTGTCAAGCGCTGCGAGCGCATTCGGCGTGCACGCTCTGAAAACATGGGTAGTATGGGTCATCGATCGCAATATCCAGCGCGCGCGCCGCCGGGCCGCGCGCGCCGCACCGCGCATCGCTCCGCCAAATATCGGCTATCGGTCGCGCATCCAGCGCGCGCCGCGGCGCGCGCACCAATGTCCGCATCGCGCCGCGCGCAGGCGCGATGGCCGCCTACGACGGGAAGACGCCCTTCATCCTGCTCGCGCGGTGCCACATCAAGCCCGACGCCGACGTCGACGCCTACCTCGCGGCCGCGCGCGTCGCCGACAAGGCCGTCATGGAGTCGGAGCCGGGCATGCTGCACCACACCTTCGACGTGGATCCCGACGATCCGCGCATGTTCGTCTGGAGCGAGGTCTACAAGGACGACGAGGCGCTGCTCTTCCACCTCACGAACCCGCCCCTGCAGAAGTTCGTGCAGCAGCACTCCGAGGAGTTCGGCGACGGCTTCTCCATCGAGATCTACGGCACGCTCGACGCGGAGACGAAGAAGAAATTAGACGCGACGGGATTTCCCATCAAGTACTTCGACACGAAGCTCGGCTACTCGCGCGTCAACGACGCCAAGTGCGCCGTCATGTGAGTGAACACGACGTCGTGCGCCGTCATGCGAGCGCACAAGCGCGCGCGCCGTCCAAAGCCGCGGAACGCGCGAGGAAGACCCAGCGAAACACGCCGCGCTAAAAGACGACGGACATCACTTAGACGCGCGCGCGGGAGCATCGAGGAGGCGGCCGGGGGAGGCGCCGAGCTCACCGCTCGCGGCGGCGGCTTAGTTGTGCGTGATGGGGTAGAAGAAGTGGTGGTCGCACGAGTCGAGCTGGGAGTGGAGCATGGCGCCCGTGACGCCGAGCATGGCCGCGCGGCCGTTCTGGAGCTCGCAGGTGAGGGCGCGCTGGCGGGCCGTGGGGTCCTCGATCTGGTTCGTGAAGGGGTAGCCGCCGGGGATCGTGCCCGCGGAGCCGTCGTAGCCGCCGGGGAGGTTCTGGGGGCCGCCCGTGTACTGGGTCGCGGGCATGGCCGCCGTCTCGGCGATGAAGCCGAAGGCGACGATCTGGAAGAGGCCGAACTTGGGGATGTTCTCGATGGCGTCGAAGCCGTAGCCGATGTCGGAGAACTTGACGGAGCCGTCGAGCGTGATGGAGCCGGGGAAGGTGATGCCGAGCTCCTGGACCATCATGCCGATGAACGCGGTCATGGCGATGCGGCCGTGCTTGATCTCGACGGCGCGGCGGCGCGCGAGCGACTCCTGCTCGTCCCAGAACTTGCCCGACGGCACGACCGTCGACATGGACAGGAAGGGGTCGAGGCCGATCTCGGGCACGGGCATCTCGCCGGCCTTGGCGACGACGCTGGCGGCCTTGGCCGTCGACGAGGACTGCTGGAAGGCCGCGGCCGGGGCGACGAGGGCGAGGGCGAGGGAGAGCTTCATGGTGGCGTGTGGGAGGCCTGCGCGCGCAATGAGTTCGGGTCGTGTCGCGGCCGCGCGGGTTGCGGCGGGGTTGCGCGAGGTGTATGGGGGTCGCGGCGGGGTCGCGCGTGCAACTGGGGACTGGGTGGGTGGGTTCTGGACGCTGCATTCGACGAGGTTGAGATTCTAAAAAGGCTTGAGTCTCGGATCGGATTGCGGGCCCAAAAAGGGGCTTCAAGCCGGCCATGTTGACCCTCAAGTCAACAGGTTGAACGCGATGGGCAGCCTCCTCGCGTCTCCGCAGGCTAGCAGCCTCCCGTGGCTGCCGCGGAAGCCATGCCCACGACAGGCAGTCGCCTGACGAGCCATCCATGCCGCGCTGACCCATGAGGCTCACCGTCGAATGCCTCGGCCGCACCCACGCCTTGCGCTTCGCGCGGCTCGACCGGCCCATGCGCAGCCTCGCCAAGGCCGTCGCCAAGGCCGCCGGCGTCGAGCGCGTCGTGCTCGAGGCGGACGGCGGCGTCCTCGACGGCGCCGCGAAGGTCAGCGCGGTCCTCCGCGACGGCCAGCGGCTCGTCGCGCGCGTCCCGCTGGACCTGCCCTACGACGAGTTCGACGTCGTCGTCGTCGACTTTGGGCGCGCGGGGAGCGGCGCGCCGTCGTGCTCGCCGGAGGCGCCGGCCTGGGTCTGCAGCCGCAGCGACGTCGAGCGCCGCGCGGCGAACGCCGTGCTGGGATCGCCGACGGCCGTCGCGGCGCACCCGCGCGAGGCGGGGCCGCACGTCGTGAGATGGGGCGACCTCGAACGGTCGTTCACGGCGGTCGCCGCGCGCCGGCCCGCGCCCTGGCAGACGCTGCGGCCCGCGGCGCGCGCGCGCGTCCTGCGATGGCTGCGAGCGAACGGCGTCGACGCCGCGACGGACCGCGTCGACGCCGCGCAGCTGCCGCTGCCCCGCGTCGACGCCGCCGACGACGCCGCGCCCGTCGCCTGGCGGCGGCCCGCCGCGGGCGAGGTCGTCGTGCTGCCCGACTTCGTCGACGAGGCCCTCGCGCGGAAAATAATCACCGCGGCGAAAAAACGGCTCGCGGCGAGCGGCCTCATGGGCGACGGCGGCGCCGCGGCCCGGCCCGCGGCCTCGGGCTACCGCAGCAACCGCGCGGCCTTCCTCACGGACGCGTCGGGCGCGGGCGCCGTCCTCGGCGCGCTGCGGCGCACGGTGAGGCGCTACTTCCCCGAGGTGCCGGCGGCGGACGTCGAGTTCCAGGTCGTCCACTACCGCGCGGGCGAAGAGTACCGCTGCATCACGATGTTCTCCGGCGCGACGCCGACGGCGCGTTCCCGCGGCGCACGTCGCTCTTCGTCTACCTCGCGCGCG